AGAGAACTTGTAGGGGCTCTTGAGAGATGGCCCAGCAGTCAAGGACATTTTGCTCTTGCAAAGGCTTGGTTCCTAGGGCCCACATGACTAACAATCATCTGTGACACCAATTTCAGAGAACCCAGTGCCTCCTCTGGCCTCTGTGGGCACCACACACACGTGATGCACAGGTATGCATGCAAGCAAACACCCATACACAGAAAATAAAAATGCACATTTTTTAAAAAGCGAAAAATTTAAAGCTATAATCTATTGCAAATTGCACTGTTACTATGCACTCCTACATAAGTCCAAAATGTCTACTTGAACTTTATCATTGGAGTATTATTAAGGCTTAGAGTTAACTGTTGCTTCTTTTCTTTCCCCCAAAGATTATTTCTGATTTTGTGAGGCTGCCAATTAGAGTATGTGTGAGTAGGTGCCCAAGAAGACCATGTGGGTGTTGGGAATGGAACTCGGGTCTTCTGGAAGGGCAGTGATGTTTTGAACTACCTAGACAGCTTTCTAATCACTGAACCTTGCTTTTTGGCATATCTTTTATATCATACTGATGAAACTTGTTTCAAGTTATTTTAATATAATATTATGACTTATGCTTTAGAATACTGCACTGAAAGAAACTTACCAAACTGAATTTTATGAAGTATTCATTCATGTTTTTAGCTAGGCATGTGTTTTCTAGTACATCTGTGCATGCATTTACATGTGTGTCTATGACTGATTCTAGTGTTTGAACTTGGCTCCTAATGCTTATAACAAGCACTTTACTGAGCTATCTTCCCAGCCACTAAAATGAATTTTTAAAACCATATTTGTTTTTATTCATTATTACCATGAACTGGGGAGTTGTTGTGTTAACAATCATGTGATTACAAATGGTACTGGCCAATGCAAGTTGTCTCCTGTAGTAACTTAATTGTTGAAATAGGAGGCGGCGGGGCTGCATCCCCAGCACCCCAGCCGCCTGCTAGCTTATGCCCAAAATAACAACACACAAACTGTATTCATTTAAAGACTGCTTGGCCCATTTCTATCTAGCCTCTTCTAGGCTAATTCTCACATATTAATTTAGCCCATTTCTAATAATGTGTGTAAGCACCCCAAGGTGCGCTTACCGGGAAGATTCTAGCCTACGTCCATCCTGGGTCTGAGCTGCCTGGGAGAGCGGAGCCTGGCGTCTCTGCTCCAGAGAGCAGAGCTGTTGAGTCTGTCTGAGGAGTCTTACCTCACTTCCTCTTCCTCCTGTTTACTCCTCCCACCTATGTTTTAACCTATCAGGGCAAGCAGTTTCTTTATTTAATTAACCAATGAAATCAACAGATTGATATATGACACTCCCACATCACTTAATAGTTTATTATTCATGGTCAATCTTAAAGAAGACTTTCTTGTCTCTATTTCCATACACAGTTTTTGATTCCTAAAGTAGTCTTTATATCCTCGTGTTACCATTTCTTAGATGATACATATAAATCAAAGGTCCTTCTAATGTTAGGTGGGTTATGCACACCAATAATCCCAAACCACAGAAGACAGAGGCAGGAGGATCACCATAAGTTAAAGACCAGCCTGGTCTACATAATAAGTTTCAGGTCAGTCAGGTCTATGTACTGAGACCCTCTTTTGATGGATAAATTGTAAACGGATTTTGCAGTTTTGTTTCCCAGCTGCCCAGACCCAAATAATCACACAGACACTATTTTAATTACAATACTGTTTGGTAAATGGCTTAGGCATATCCTTGCTAGCTCTTACATCTTAAATTAACCCATTTCTATTTTATATTTTGTCATAAGGCTTGTGGTTTATTGTCTCACATCTTGCTTCTCGAGCAGCTACATGGTGTCTGCCTGACTCCACCTTCTTTCTCCCTGCATTCAGTTTAGTTTCCCGCCTAGCTGTGTTCTGCCTGCCATAGGCAAAGAAGCTTCCTTATTACCAATGGTAATAAAATGTTCACAGCATACGGAGGGGAACCCCACATCAATAAATAAAAACCAAAAACATTCTAAAGTGAGTAAAGTATACCTTTCTTTACTGAAATTAGTTTTTTGAGGGGTTTTTTGGTTTGTTTGTTTTTTTTTTTTTTTTTTTTTGGTTTTTCAAGACAGGGTTTCCTCTGTGGTTTTGGAGCCTGTCCTAGAACTAGCTCTGTAGACCAGGCTGGTCTCGAACTCACAGAGATCTGCCTGCCTCTGCCTCCCGAGTGCTGGGATTAAAGGCGTGCGCCACCACCGCCCCGCTTGAAATTAGTTTTTAATGCATAATTACTTGGGAGGATATGAAATGTGTGCTAATACACACACATCCAAACACACACCAGGAAAACCTATTCTGTGAAGAATTGATAGGTCCATTTATTTGGATCTGTGTTAGAGAGCTATCCAACTGTCATGTGAGTCTTCAGGCATTAGATATGCATATAGCAGTTGTATACTGGAGACATAATGGGATTAGTTTCCAAAACCAGCCATTTGTTTTTATGTACCTGAAATGATTACCTTACTGGGTATGAAAGAAGCATTGAGACTCGGTACCTAGCACATAGTAATAGATTACAAATACTAAGAGATTACAAGATGATGAAATCCTGAGGCACTCACCTTCATTATGGAACTGATAACTATCAGTCCCTTGAGACTTCTTCTACCCTGTTCCAAAAAGTAGATCTCATTGCCCTGCTCCTTAGCATTTTATAAGCCTGAAAGGTGTTTGGAATAAGTAATATTCAACCCAAGCAAGATGATCCCTACCTATAGTTTACTTAGCTCAATAACAGCCTAGACAACACAGGAGACCCGTCTCTGACAGCCAACAGTCTGTTCTGAACCAGGATTTTCTCTTTTCAGCACATTTGCCCTAGTACATCTCAATGCGTCTTCCTTCCATTACCAGAACTAGTAATGACTGTCCTTCAAATGCTGCTGCATGTCTTTGAAAAAGCACAAGAAAAACATCCATAAAATATAGATGAGTATGATGTACACATGCAGAAGAAAATGAGGAGTGTTTCTCCCTCCAACTTCCTGACAAGAAAGAGAAGAGTCTTTCATCTTTATTTTCCTTGAACTATGAATAACAAGATTTTAGGATATAATGGTAGCAAAATCTGACATTAAATATCTGTTGTATCATATTTTACTCTAATTCTAGCCAGTGTTTTTGGTTTTTATTTTTATCTTCCACAGGTTAGTAGTTACATTAAGTAAATACATCTTATTATAGAATTTTTGCATACTTAAATTTTATTTAGGTGAGACATTTTATGCATCTACTTAATAATTAGTAAAAATTGCCCTAATATGGGGGGCCAGAGAGATAGCTCAGCAGTTAAGGGTATTAACTGCTATTACATAGGACCCAGATTCAATTCCCAGCACCCACATGGTGGCTAGCCTCCACACAGACCAGGCATACACATTTAGAATAGACATACATTCAAGGCAAAAAATTCATATAATAAAAGTAAATATTTAAAATTTTTAAATAAGTAAATCAGAATTTAAAGAAAAATAAGAGCTTTGGTAATTTTTTTAAAAATTGGCTACGTGGTTTTGGTGCACACCTTTAATCCCAGCACTCAGGAGGCAGAGGCAGGTGGATCTCTGTGAGTTCGAGGCCAACCTGGTCTACAGAGCTAGTGCCAGGACAGACTCCAAAGCTACAGAGAAACCCTGTCTCGAAAAAAAAAAAAATTGCTCTAATGTATATAAAAGGCAAATATATTTTGGGGGAAATTTACCTGAAATTTTTAAAATTTAATTTATCTTTGTGTGTGTGTGTATGGATATGTGCATATGAGGCTGAAGAGGCTGAAGAGAGTGTTGATGAATACAGTGGAGCTGGAGGTACAGGCAGTGTGTGCCTCCCGGTGTCGGTGCTGGACTCCAAATTCTGGTCCTCCTCGAGAGCAGTTTGTACTCTTAGCTATTAAGCCATCTCTCCAGTACTACTTTGTAGTGGTATATGATTTATATTTTGATAAATAAATATTTCCTGAAGACCAGAAGCAAAGCTAAAGCCACTAGAGGGCAGGCAATGGTGACACCTTTAATTCCAGAATTTGGGAGACAAAGTCAGATGGATCTCTGTGAGTTCAAGGCCACCCTGGGCTACACAAGATCAATGCAGGAACAAATCTAGGAGGTGATGGCTCACACCTTTAATCCTAGTTCTGGGGAGTCACATGCCTTTAGTCCCAACACAAGAGAGAATATAAAATGGGAGTAGAGAGAGGCTTAGTCTGTTTAGTTTACAGTCACCCAGCCTTGGTAGAGGTAGACTTCTCTCGTGGCTTGGCTGCTTCACTTTTCTGGATTTGGGGTTGATTTCTGTCTCTGGGTTTTTATTATTTGTGCTGCATTACTTTATTATTTGTGCTGCATTACTTGAGGATTATTTTTTGTTTGTTTTGTTTTTTGAGGCAGGATTCTTCTGTGTGGCCCTGGCTGTTCTGGAACTTACTCTGTAGACCAGGCTGGCCTTGAAGTCAGATCCACCTGCCTCTGCCTCCTGAGAGCTGGGATGAAAGATGTGTGTCACCACCACCTAGCTGAGAATTCTTATCAGGAGGGATGGCTCTTTCCTCTGGTGGACATTTTGTTGCATTTAGCAGTTTCTCATAAATGAGGAAGACAGTCGTAAGGGAATTTGTGGAAAGTCCTCCTGTTAAGTAAATAGATATCTTCTTAGGTATATGAAGGCGCGGTGTCCCAACAATGAAAGACCGGCTTTCAGAGTGCAGGTGATAGTTTCTGGAATCTTCAGTGTTGCTAGTCACGTGTTTAAAGAGGGAGGGGTTCATCTCCAGTGGCCTCCAAGACTACTAATCTCTGTAGCTGCTTCACACGGACTTTGTTTGACTTGAGACCTTGCTTCCCACAGTAGTAGGGTGTGCCTTACATTGTCAGTGCAGATTAAGAAGAGACCCTCTGATCGGACTACAGATTGGTGGACTTTGCAGTGGAGATAACAGTACTTCTCTCTGTTCTCTCTTGTAGAGCCGACAATTAGAATCAGAGACTGGAACCACAGAGGAGCACAGTCTAAATAAGGAGGCTCGGAAATGGGCCACACGTGTAGCGCGTGAGCACAAGAACATTGTTCAACAGCAGCGGGTGAGTATGTGATAGCGCGCCCTGGCTGTGCAGCTGAAATCAGATTTCAGATAGATATAAGGAGTTGAATTTTATTTTTATTTGTGTTTGCCTGTGCACTGTGTGTGTGTGTGACACCCATGGAGGTCAGCAGAGGGCACTGGGCATCAGATCCACTGAAACTAGAGTGTAGACAGCTGTGAGCTGCCGTATATGTGCTGGAACTTGAACCTAGGTTCTCTGAAAGAGCAGTCCATGCTCTTAACCATTGAGCTATCTCTCCAGCTCCAAGGAATTTAATTTTATCAACGTGAAAAATCCTGTATATGTTTTCCCTGTATTTTCTCAACAGTCAGCGTAATGCTCTTAACTCTTGCCTACCTTGAAAAAGCTTTCTCTCTCTCTCTCTCTCTCTCTCTCTCTCTCTTTTTTTTTTTTTTTTTTTTTTTTTTTTTTTTTTTTTTTTTTTTTTTTTTTTTTTTTTTTTTGTGGAGACAGGGTCTCCTCTCTACACAGCCCTGGCTTTCCTGGTCTTGAACTAGCATCTTTCTCTGGCCTGAACACACTTATGCATATGCAGTAAAATAGAAATAAGACGGACACAGCCAGGCGGTGGTGGCACACGCCTTTAATCCCAGCAGGCAGAGGTGACGGATCTCTGTGAATTCAAGGCCAGCCTGCTCTACAAGAGCTAGTGCCAGGATAGGCTCCAAAGCTACAGAGAAACCGTGTTTCAAAAAACCAAAAAAAAAAAAAAAAAAAGATGAGCAGCAACACATGAAACTAGACTTTCTGTAGAGCCATAAAATTGAAATCAATTTTTCAAAATTCTGTGTCAGCATAAGTTTGGCAGTATCCCTGTGGTTAGGATATAGGGAGGGGTAGGTACAACCTTTCAGGGAAAATTTGACAGTGTATATTAATATTACAATATAGAGGTGCAGGATAAGCTGACTAGTGGAGCACCTGCTTACTATGATCACCAGTTCAGGAAAACAGTGAGTGAGCAAGCAGCACATGCCAATCCCACATTTAGGTTTCCACCTCAAGTCAGTACTCCAGTGTGTTCAGTTCCGTTTGCAGTGCTGAGAGTGCTCTGAGGAAGTGCGGTACTGTTAAACTGTAGTACTATTGAGGTGAGCTCAGTCTGCAAACATGGCAAGGTTTGCTACAGACACTGAGGGAATGCTGTATTATTTTTTTATTCCCACAAACAAGATTTTCATAAAAATGGTTTGGAGAGGCAGGCGGATCTCTGTGAGTTCGAGACCAGCCTGGTCTACAAGAGTGCCAGGACAGGCTCCAAAGCCACAGAGAAACCCTGTCTCCAAAAATAAATAAGTGGTTTGGAAAAATACAAATGAATGGGGTAATATTTTGGTGCAGAGAGTATGTGATAGATTCACGTGTGGACTTTGTGCGTCATTGTTTCAGGACAGGCTCCAAGCTACAGAAAAACCCTGCCTCGAAAAAAAAAAAAGTTTAAGAATGAGTCTTGGCTTTAGCCACTGAACCCTTTGAAATTACCTAAATACTCAAGGAAGAAGCACAAGAACAGAAACAGTCATCTTTATTTTCTTCGATAGGTTTTAAATGACCTGGAGTGTCATGGAGTTGCCGTACCAGAGCAGAGTCGAGCAGAGCTGGAACAGAAAATAGACGAAGCTAGAGAAAATATCCGCAAAGCAGAGGTAAGGACAGCGGCCAGTAACAGATGTCACTTGATCCAGGCAGTGTCACGGTCACAGCATGCACCTTGAAACTGAGTTTGTACACGGGTGGGTTTTTGGTTTTTTTTTGTTGTTGTTTGTTTGTTTGTTTTTGTTTTTTTTTTGAAAAAATTTCCACCTCCTCACTCTCCCTCCTCTCACTCCTCTCCCCTTCCCCTTCTCCTCTCCCCCTCCCCCCACTCCATTCCTCCTCCCTCTCGGCTCTGAAGAGCAGTCCAGATTCCCTGCCCTGTGGGAAGTCCAAGGTCCCTCCCCCCCTCCCCCCCCCTCCATCCAGGTCCAGGAAGGTGAGCATCCAAACAGGCTAGGCTCCCACAAGCTAGGCCAGTTCATGCAGTAGAATCGAAACCTAGTGCCATTGTCCTTGGCTTCTCATCAGCCTTCATTGTCCACCATGTTCAGAGAGTCCGGTTTCCTCCCATGCTTATTCAGTCCCAGTCCAGCTGGCCTTGATGAGCTCCCAATAGATCACCCCACTGTCACAGTGGGTAGATGCACCCCTCGCGGTCCTGACATCCTTGCTCATATTCTCCCTCCTTCTGCTCCTCATTTGGACCTTGGGAGCTCAGTCCAGTGCTCCAATGTGGGTCTCTGTCTCTATCTCCATCCATCACCAGATGAAGGTTCTAAGGTGATATGCAAGATATTCATCAGTATGGCTATAGGATAGGGTCATTTCAGGTTCCTTCTCCTCAGTTGCCCAAGGTACTAGCTGGGGACATCTCCCTGAACACCTGGGAGCCCCTCTAGAGTCAAGTCTCTTGCCAACCCTAAAATGGCTCTTGCCAGGCAAAAACTGGGAACTTGGGGGTGAGGTGGGATGAGGGTAAGGGGAAATGGGGTGAGAAAAGTGAGAAGAGGAGGATGGAGGGAGCTTGTGGGAATGGGATGGTTGGGATAAAGGAAGGGTGGATATAGGAGCACGGGTGTTTTAAGTTAGACAATCAACCATCTCTGTGTCCACAGTAGTATTTTTGTGTACCTGAAACACTTAAACAAAGACTCTGAACCTACTGTGAAGAACCCACAGTCATGAAACATTAAAAAACAGCAAAAGGAATGTCACAATGCAGTTGTTAATTTTTAGAATTTTCACAAAGTGTTAAGTCACTCAGTCAAATTAATGGTAGGAAAACTGACATATGTATGTTCAGATGTTAAGACTGTCTTCATGGGGCTGGAGAGATGGCTCAGTGGTTAAGAGCATTGCCTGCTCTTCCAAAGGTCCTGAGTTCAATTCCCAGCAACCACATGGTGGCTCACAACCGTCTGTGGTGCGGTCTGGTGCTCTCTTCTGGCCTGCAGACATGCACGCGGACAGAATGCTGTATACATAATCAATAAATAAATATTAAAAAAAAAAAGACTGTCTTCATATCACAGGTTCCCTAATCCAGGGAAGTGAGCAAAGATAGGGCTACAAAGGAAGGGAGTGAACAAACACATAATTGTGGATTTTAATCTCTTGTGGAGTCATAAGACCTTTTTAGGGTTGTATAGCTATGAAACCTCACCAACAAAAACAGAAAAGTTCCCATGATGCTACTCTGCTTGCCTAGAAGGGGAAGTTGACATGAGAAGTGATGACGTGGCTGTCTACATAGGGTAGACTTTGCAGTTGGGTACGATCAGAGTCAGAACATCAGGAAGAAAATGTGGTTTTAGAAAGGAGATAAACTAATTGTGATTAGAGCCATGTTGAAAACAAATGAAGAAAGAATAAAAAAAACAAAAAACCAACCAGGTTATGTTCTTGTTGAGGCGACATAAAGCTATGGAACTGTCAGCATAGACGCGGGATGAAGTTGAGGAGTGCAGTGCTGTATGGCGTCACAGTATGTCATGCACACCCACCACCCACTGTGAACCAAAAGATGAAGACAGGTAGCAAGCAGACTCGAGTGTGAGATTAGGAAATGTTTTCTTTTTGGTGGCCAAATATATATCTCAGGGAATATAATATCCATTATGAGCATGAGAAAAGATTCTAGGTGAGGACTGGAGAGATGGCTCAGTTAGTAAAGTGCTTGCCATGCAAGCGTAAGAACCTGAGCACTATGTAACACCACAAGATCTGACCAGGTCCATGAGCTTCTAGATTCAGTGAGAGGCCTTTTCTCAAAAAAGTAATGCTAATAACAATGTGTTATGTGTGTGGTGGTGCTTGCCTTTAATCAGTACTCAAGAGGCAGAGGAAGGCATATCTCTTTTAAGTTCAAGGCCAGCCTGGTTCCATACTGAGTTCCAGATCAGTTAGGGCTACAGAGTGAGATCTTGCCTTAAAATAGTAACAACAACAATGTGGGGATAAATCAAGGAAGATACATTGCCCTCTGGCCTCCCTGGGTATATCCCATATAATGAAGGCACACACACACAAACACATATGCATAATGTAACATGGATTCTGGACCAGCTTCTATTAGGGCATCCAAATAAGGAGGAATTCTTGTACTATTTGAGAGTTCGTCTAAACTAATGACTTTCAACGTTTTGAGAAAGTGCTTCAGAAGTTGGGTGATGGGAGAGGCAATGTAAGTAAGCACATGGAATGTGAGCATGTTTTGAGCACTGTCCCGGGGAGGTGATCCGAGTCAGAACAGACTTGCCACTTGTTCTTGTACCCTCCTCTGCACTATTCCTGGCACAGTCTGAACCTCAGACTCCCCCAGAGAGGAGGGCAGTGTGTGCTTTTTTCCTCTCTAAACCAAGGGTCACAAGGAAACTACTACACTGAGGTGTTGGCAGGCAGTTGCTGAGTGGTAAACTCTGGCTTTTGGTGAAAGAGTTGTCCTTGTTACTTATCCACTGTAGATGAAAACTTAGTGAAACAGGAATGACGATTTTGAGACAAGACTCAAAGAATTCGTGAAGGAATATCTTTATATTTTCCATTTCCAGACTCCACCATGGTGTCACTTTGTAACCTTCACTCCACCAAACTTCTCCACTGCACCTTAGTGTAGCACTAATAGGTCACACAGTTGTCGTGTGGGTTAGACCTGCTCTCCCTTTCAGTACGCCACACTTACTGTTTGTAGTTTAAAACTAAAATTTCGAAGTGAGAGTTCCACAAGAGATTGTCTTCAATCTCAAAGGTAAGTTTCTTACTAAGAATATATAGGTGATATCGGATCCATTATCTTAGTTTTCAATGTTTGTGAAATTGTCTTCAGATGAGCTCCCACTTGGTTTCCACTTACTGGATAATCAAAAAGCCATGCTAAGATTAGTTAGCAGATGTGAGGACATATTTTATTAGGTCAACAGTTGAAGGATTGACATATTGAAATTTTTTTTAAGAATAACACTGCATAAGCCTTAATAACCATGTTGTTCTAGGATTAAGACTGTTCTTTTTAAAGGAGACCATCTTTTTAACCAAGGTTTCCCAACATCTGGTCGAGATTCTTTTTTTTTTTTAATATTCATTTATTATATATACAGTGCCCTATCTGCATGTATGACTCCAGGCCAGAAGAGGGTGCCAGATCTCATTATAGATAGTTGTGAGCCACCATGTGGTTGCTGGGAATTGAACTCAGTCAGTGCTCTTAATGGCTGAGCTGTCTCTCTAGCCCCATATTGAAGTTTTTGGATAGACTAGATCACTGAACTCTTCAGAGAAACTAACCAAATCTCTTGTTTTTCCTTTTTCTAGCTTGTATTGTTATTTGTATTTTTTTTGGTGTTTACTTGATTATAAATAATTCTCCAAAAGAGAAAAACACTAATTAAAATTTTATCATATCCTTCATACTTTCTTAGTAATTCCTACCAACATAAATGATTCCCTTCCATGTTAATTAATCTGCTTTGTCTAATCTCTTCTCTTTATGGCTCCATTCCTTTTTTTTTTTTTTTTTTTTTTTTTTTGCTAATTAGAATAAGAGCTGTTCTCACCGAGGCCAGCTGGCCTGGGTCTGAAAAAAGCCCGGGATAAAACCGGTCTCGCTGAACATAGTGGACAATGAGGGCTACTGAGACCTCAAGAATAATGGCAATGGGTTTTTGATCCTACTGCACGTACTGGCTTTGTGGGAGCCTAGGCAGTTTGGATGCTCCCCTTACTAGACCTGGATGGAGGTGGGTGGTCCTTGGACTTCCCACAGGGCAGTGAACCCTGATTGCTCTTTGGGCTAATGAGGAAGGGGGACTTGATTGGGGGAGGGGGAGGGAAATGGGAGGCGGTGGTGGGGAAGAGACAGAAATCTTTAATAAATGAATAAATAATAAAAAAAAGAATAAGAGCTGTTGTGGTGCTCTGTGATAGATGAAAAAACCTTTCCAGTATACAGAGACTGAGGACTGTGTAGTGGCTGTTAATCTTAGGCAAAGTCATACTTAATTCAGCTATTTAATGAGTGCTTTCCTATGTGCCAGATGCTTATAAAAAGATTATCATCCACCACCATCACCATCACACACGCGTGCGCTTGTACACACACACACATAAAGGTGGTGGTGGGTAACTAAGTTGATATCTCAAAACAAATTTGATCTCTTTGTATACTTTGTGTGTTTCAAATTTTATTCAGTGACTTTGTGCTGTTTTGCATTAGAAAATATAAATGTTATACAAACATTAATCATGACATACTTATTTTAAAAGAAAAAGCTATACAGTTCAATTTAAAGAGTATCCATTTGAATACAAAATATTCTTCTATCATAAGTTAAAATGTCCCCATCGTGGTGTTTTCCATGGAATAAGCATTTATTATTACAAAATTGTTATATTTGACACATGTTTACAGGAGCAACAACATTGAAAGGAAGAAAAAATGAGACTTTTGGAATACTTGAACACTAATTTTAGGCATGCTTTATGCTAGTATATTTTATTTTATTTCATTTATTGTGTGAGAGGATCTTACTTTGTGCCCCAGGATGGTCTGGAACTCACTGTAGATACCAACCTGACTTTGAACTCACAGAGATCTTTCTGACTCTTTCTCTTAAATGCTGAGATTAAAGGCATGTGTACCACCAAAAAAAAAAAAAGATTATCATCTCACAAGAAACCATTACTACATTGTCATGATTTCTACAGTTCTCACAAGAATATTTACATTAGCCGTTGTACTCTCATCAGCCTCTAATTAGAAATTATAATGAGCCGGACGAGGTGGCTCTAATCTCAGTACTGGAGAGGCGGAGGCAAGCAGATCTCTGTGAGTTCCAGGCTGGTCTACAGAGCTAGTTCCAGGACAGCCAGAGCTACACAGAGAAACCCTGTCTCAAAAAAAAAAACAAAAACAGAATGAGGCAATTGTTTGAATAAAACATTAGTAATCATATTTTGCCCTGGTTTTTAGTATTTGAAGTTTTTGAAATGCCTTTTGATACCCACATGCACATGCATACACATAAACACACATTAATTATCTGATATACATTATTGCAGATTATAGCATTAAGATATTATTTGTGATTTCCTATAAATATATACATTAAATGTACATTATATACAGATACTTGTAAAAGGAAATGAGAAAGGAATTAAAATATCTCACTACAAAAATGGAAACCAACTTAGGGCTGGAGAGGGATGACTCAGGCAGTTAAGGGTGCTCACTGCTTTTGCAGGGAACTAAATTTGGCTCCCACCACCCACATGGGGGCTCACAGTCACCTATAGCTCTAGTTCTAGGAAATCTGTTACCCTCCTCTGGTCTGCATATAAACTCACAAAGATACACACGCATACTCTCTCCCACACAGAATTATATAGTAAATAAACCTTTAAAAAAAAACAACTAACATTGGGCTGGAAAGATGGCTCAGAGGTTAAGTCCTGAGTTCAATTCCCAGCAACCATATGGTGGCTCACAACCATCTATAATGAGATCTGGTGCCCTCTTCTGATGTGCAGACATACATGCAAGTAGAACACTATGTACATAATAAATAAATCTAAAAAAAAAACTAAACTCAAAAGAAAGCAGCACTTCAGGAAGGGAAAAATGAAAAGCTATTAGCATATACAAAACAAATAGCAAGTTGACACTGTAGTCTTTCTGTATTACTAATGACTTTAAATGTCAGTGTATAAATTCTCTACAGAAAACAAATCAGCAGAATAGATATTTTAAAAAGTGATACAGGGACTAGAATCAAGAATACTTTTTGCTTTTGCAGAAGACCTGGAGTAGGTTCACAGCACCCCCGTGATAGGTTACAACTCTCTGTAACTCCAGATCCAGGGATCTAGTGTCCTCTTCCAACCTCCGTGAGTACTAGGCACACATATGGTGCACATACATACATAGAGGCAAAACATTTATACACATAAAATTAGAATAAATATAATCTTTTGAAAATATGATTCAACCATATGCTGTGGAATTGGAAACACACTTTAAGTCCGAAGATAGAAATAGACTAAAAATAAATAGATGGATAAAGATATTCCGTACAAATAATAGCCAGAGAATGACAATCACACACACAAATACTGTACGGATGCACCTAAAACAGGTGAATTCATAGAGACAGAAAGTCAAATTATAGTTACCAGGACTTTGGAAGGGGAATGGAAAATTGTTATTTATTGCATAGAATTTTAGGATTTTTAAAAATATTTTTAAAGATTTAATTATGTACATGAGTTTGTTTTATCTACGTGTACATCAACAAAACTAGAAGAGAGTATTGACTCCCATTAAAGGAGGTTGTGAGCTGGGAATTGAACTCAGCACCTCTGGAAAAACAGCCAGTGCTCTTAACCACTGAGCCATCTCTCCAGTCCCTGGTTTTAGTTGTACATGATGAAAATATGATGAAAGCAACCTGAAAGTAGATGGTGTAATCATTGCACAACAGTTAGTATATTTAATACTCACTAAACTGCTCATTTAAAATAGTACATGTGTGCTATAATAATAGTGAGAAAGATGCTGTGGCTGTTAAAGAGAGCAAGGAGGGATCCATGGGATCCCAGTGTTTCTGCAGCTTCATGACTGTTTAAAATCAAAAGTGCTGCTCATTAACAATCCACAGTGGCAGCCAAGTGAAAAACAAGCTTTGCTGGAAAATGTTGATGTGATTAAACATTATTATTTAAAAGAAAATACTTTATGTCCATGTCATTGAATAGCAGTCTCTCAATTAATTTCAACTAAAGTTCAAGGTAAAAATATCTTCTTGGAAGAGCAGTAGAAGTGCTTTTATGTAGGAATTCATTTTAAAAAGATTACTAGGGCTGGAGAGATGGCTCAGAGGTTAAGAGCATTGCCTGCTCTTCCAAATGTCCTGAGTTCAATTCCCAGCAACCATATGGTGGCTCACAACCATCTGTAATGAGGTCTGGTGCCCTCTTCTGGCCTGCAAGCATACACACAGACAGAATATTGTACACATAATAAATAAGTATTAAAAAAAAGATTACTAAACATGTTAGAAGACTAGCTTTGAATATCTGTGTTCCAGTGCTTTAGCTCAGTTATGTCAGAGAAGTCAACAGCTAGGTGTTTACTGCTTTTCACATTATGACTGATCTGCATAGCGTGCTATAGGAACAGAGGGAAGGCTATAATGGATGCCCATGAAGTGAGAATCATTAGAAAAACTTTCATAAAAAGGATGTTTTAACTGACCCTCAAAAGGTAGGCAGTCATCATGAAGCATGAACTATTACGTGCAAAGAACTGTTATTGACCAGGAAGGGGTAATGTGATGTACTGGCCGAGTATGTAGTGATGTGGGGCCACAGAGGTCATGGGAAGACAGAAAAGGATATTTCAAAATGTGAAAGCTATCTTATTCCAGATTATTGCTCAGCAGTCCAGAGTTGGAGCTGGAGAGATGGCTCAGTGACTGAAAGTATTTACTTTGCTTGCAGAAGACCCAGGTTCAATCTCAGCACCCACACGTTGTCTCACAACCCTGTGTACCTAGTTCCAGGAGATCCGATGCTTTCTTCTACCTTCTTCAGGCTCCTGCTCTCATGTGGTATATATACATATACTTGGACACACGTATATACTAAATAAATAAATGTGGGGTTTTTTCCTTAAGAATAAAACGTAGGCCTAGTCCAGAGTCTCACAGCACTTTAGAACAAGGGATAACATGATTAGGGTTCATTTAGAAGGCCACTAAAGATGCTGGATTTTAAGATGTTCTAAGCCCCATTCTTCCTAACAGCAAAAGGAAGATTTTGGGACATTCTCATTTCTTCCTAGTCAGGTTCTGTTTTATGTGTCATCGGTACTGTGGGTGTTGCAATGAGAAGTGCGACAGGTATGACCGAGTGATAAAACATGTGCATCACATGCTCACAGACCTGAGTTCAGTCTCCAACAACCCCTAATCAGTCACTCATGTTGAAATAGGAGCGGTGGGGCTGCGTCCCCAACACCCCGGCCACTTGGCTAGCTTATGCCCGAAATAACAACACACAAACTGTATTCATTTAAGAACTGCTTGGCCCATGAACTCTAGCTTCTTATTGTCTAGCTCTTACATATTGTTCTAACCCATTTCTAATAATGTGTGTAAGCACCCCAAGGTGCGCTTACCGGGAAGATTCTAGCCTATGTCCATCTTGGGTTGGAGCTTCATGGCGTGTGCCTCAGAGAGCAGAGCTATCAGGAGAGCAGAGCATGGCGTCTCTGCTCCAGAGAGCAGAGCTGTCGGGTCTCTCCAGGAGCAGAGCAGAGTCTGACCTCACTTCCTCTTCTGCCCAGAATTCTATTCTGTTTACTCCTCCCATCTATGTTCTAAGCTATGAGGCCAAGCAGTTGGTTTATTATAATTAACCAATGACCTTCCTCCATCACACTCAAACAGATACAAGTATGCCGTTTGCCATTATCAAAAAGGCCCAATTCCTATTGTTGTGTTCATGTTCTTTCTCTTTTCTGTAGATGAAAAATTAATATCTAACAATTGCTGATAAATGTCAAGTTGTTAAAAAGTTGGAAATAATTTAATCGGTGTGAAGGGAAATTGCCTTAATCTCCAACCTTACTTGTTTTGTTTTGTTTTTAGATAATTAAGTTGAAAGCTGAAGCCCGGCTAGACCTACTAAAGCAGATTGGGGTTTCTGTGGACACGTGGCTAAAGAGTGCCATGAACCAAGTGATGGAGGAACTGGAAAATGAGCGGTGGGCTCGCCCTCCAGCTATGACCAGCAATGGCACGCTACACTCGGTATGGTTTCTTTTCTTGGGTTTCATGAATGACTGTTACTTGCTCTGTAGCCAAACTTGGTGAAAATTTAAAATAAAAATAGTGGAAGGTAATTTTTGTCACTTCATTTAAACTTAATATCAGAAAGAGGAGAGGGAGAATAAAACAAGTGTTCGTGTTTTCTTTTGGTTTTTAATACAGTAAAGAATACTTTGCCAATAATTGGACTATTGGTGTCTATACCCCAAACCATTATTCTACATATAAGGTAAATAGCACTTTAGCTGAAAGTAATAGATGAGAAAACCTAGTGTTTCTGAAATTCTCAGAGATCTAATGAAATGCACATGAACATTTAGAGAGTTTCAAAGTATCTTTTGAAATGTTGGCTCAGAGGTGGAGAAGTGTCTGTCAGTAAAGTGCTTATCATACAAGCACAAGGACATGAATTCAAGCTCCAGAACCTATATATAACATCGCCAGACTTGGTGGCACATGTTGGGATTCCTGTCCTGGGAGGGTAGAAACCTGCAGATCCTAGGGCTGTCTAGCCAGCCAGTAAAGCTAGCCTAATTGTCAAGTTCCTGGCCAACAAGAGACCCGGTCTCAAAAAACATGTTGGGTGGTTCCTAAGAAATAATATCCAAGGCTGACCTTTGGCCTCCACATGCACATGGACACACACATATACTCACAGATAAAACATATAAGGCACAGGCTGAAGAGATGGCTCAGAGGTTGAGAACACTGACTGATCTTCCAGAGGACTCAGGTTCAATTCCCAGTTCCCACATGGCAGCTTACACCTGTCTATAACTCCAAGATCTGCCACCCTCACACAGACATACATGCAGGCAAAATACCAATGCACATAAAATAAAAATAAATGAATTTTAAAAGAAAAAAGACACATGCAAGGCTAACAGGTTCTGTCTAAAGGGGAATTCAGTTACCAGGGCAGAACAAGAACCCAGTGCAGGAAGGGCTTGACAGGTAATAGCTAGCACACAGCTTGTTTCTTCAGAGAATTTACTGGTGTCTGTTTCTCTTCTGTGTTTCCTTTTATTGTTTGTCATCCTCTCTGGAATATAAGGGCCATGTCTTCTAGCTCCACACAGCAAAGTGCCGTGCACACAGTAGATCCTTAGTGTCTGTTGAAGGAAGAGCTGAGTGATGAGTGGAAGGACGCAGTAGTGGTAATAAAGAGCCGACTTTGTTCATGGTGCTCTGATATTTGTGTCCTTGTTACATAAACTGGCCAGTTTAAAAAAGCATTCCTGGAAGTTCTGTCACATTCTTCACATAGCACTCCAACCTTCTATGGGAATACATTTATTTATTTTAAAAAGACTGTATAGGGGTTTACAATATAAGAAAAAATAGTCTATTGAAAGTTTATTTTTATTTCATTTCATTACTAATGGCAGTCTGGCCTGTGGGGTTGAAACACATACACTGTGGGGTTAGAAGAGCGTGTCCCGTTGTCATTAGGTCAGAGTTTCTCCATGTCGTGGAGCATCTTCTGATTACATCTTTACATTTCTCATCTCGCTCCGGTTGTTCTGCTCCACAGTTTATGTGATAGCAGGTTTCAGCCACCAGCTTCCTTGTACTCTGTAGTGGCCCTGCTTCCACATCAGTCAAAATGACTATGCTTGAGCCAGCACCTTTTGAGGACATAACCTCAACTCTTGCTTCCTTCCTAGACATGTTAGAGGAGAACGGGACTTGGTCTTTCTTCAGTGGTTAGCTGGGAGAACCAGCAGCCCTTTGTAGATCTTTGTGGTATATGACAGTATGTGACGAGGTCTCTGTGTGGCAAACTTCAGGTCATTTCTATCGAATTCATCAGCACACCATGTGAAAAGTCACTCCTTTCTGGATTTCTTAGGGATATTATGTTAACCAACTCTTACGATCTCCTCTAACGCCAGAATTTTTGATTCTGTGACAAACTATCAGAAAAACTTCAGTACCAGCTCAGGAAGAGTTTACCCATAAAGAAATGTCATCAGAAGTAGCCCTTGATGGACTTGAATAAGAACTAAATTGAAGGTGTGCTCATGAATCTGAAGGAAGAACATAAATGGGATGCACATAGGGGCTTTTAGACATCAGCTCATCAAGAAGCAGTATTTTGCAATCTTATGCCGCTTTTCCTACCCTCTGGCTGTGTAGCCCCTCCTTCAGCTTGGAGGTTATATTTTATGGACGCTCTATCAGTTACATTACTAAAGGAAACCTTAAGTCATAGAATAGCTTAATGAGGCCCCAGTACTTATTTAACCTTTTTCTTAAGTAACCCTGAATGATTTAGAGAATCTTGTACCCCTCCAAACTGTCAGCTAGCTGACTGAGGAACACGAGGCTGATATACACATTCTGGCCACCAGATATTTTCTTCGTTTAGATGCCAACAAAAGCATTAGTCATCTGTGGAATGTGAAGACTGTGATAACATTAACAGTGTAGCTAAAAAGTGTCTCGTGGAAAGTAAGTGTTGTTAAACTACATAATCTATTTGTTTTAGAGAGATGATTCTTCCTCCTGTCTCATTCTGTTATATAGAATATAGGATTGGAAGGAACAAAGCAAAGAATCCCAGAATGTGGTGACACATTTAAAAGAGAGTTGCAGGGCGTGGAGGCGCGCATCTTTGACCCCAGCACTCAGGTGGCAGATGCAGATGGATCTCCTGAGTTCAAGGCCAACCTTTAGCCTGGATGCGTAGTTTCAGGCCATCCAGGACTACATAATCAGACCCAGCCTGAGAGAGGGGGATTGGTGGGTACAGAGAGATATTTAGTTGTTGGGTAACTAGAGCCTACGTATACATGCTCCTCCTGGGAACGGATACTGCCAGGGACACTCTGAGCCACTAAACTACTCCCTCCCTTCTCTTATTTCCCTGCCTTCTCTCACTCAAGCCCATACTCAGTTAGAAGGGCTCATTTTGTAATGTTTTCACTCCAATGTTACTTGTCACTGGACAATCTACACAATCCCTTCAGAGTCTCTATAGTCATTCTCTGTAACATTTGCATATATACCATTGTTCATTCATATTCCTGGCTTTTACATGCATGGGTTCAACCAACACAAATTTGAAAGTTTTAGGTTTTTAAAAATTACATCTGTACTAAAATAGAGGCTGTTCTCTATTTTACCCTAAGCATGTATACAATATAGCAACTATTTCTATAGCATTTACAGCCTTTTAGATATGCATGGGTTATATTTAAATACTATAGCATTTTATGTAAGGGACCTGAGTATCCATGGACTTTGGTATCCACAAGGGATCCTAGATTCAGTCCTTAGATACAAAGAAACAACTAAATTCCTTTTTTCAAGTTTAGGGTTGTTTTCTGTAATACAAATAATTTTAGGGTTGTTTTCTGTTGGATCCCACAGTGGAATCTATAGTCTTTTCTTTGAGATTGGTTTATTTTTATTCTTTCTAGTCTCCTTTTATCTTAGATTTTTCAGATTATAACTGACACTATCTACATGACTTCCCTCAACAGTTGTACTAGGCAACCAACAGTCTGCTTTGCTGTGCAGCCTCCCTAAGGATCTGACATTTGCAGAACTGCAGAGAAATAAATCCTGACTCCAGTCATCTTGAAGACTGCTGAGTAATCTGGTTGGAACACAAGGAGACTAATGTGCTTCACCTTACTCTCCAGTCTGCCTAATAGTTCTTGTAGTCTGATGGCATTTGTTTTTAAAATATGAAAACTTGCTCATGGGCTTGAGCTAATCTCAATTAAAAGAAAGAGTGGATTTCTATAATGAAGCAAATAAAAATTGTTAAGAGAATATCCTTGCAAAAAAAATCTTCAATTGCTTTCATATTTATAGTACTTTAAAATGGATAGCAAAAAAAAATAAATAAATAAAATGGATCGCAGTCTTTTTTATTAAACTAAGTTCTATGCTCTAAAAAGCCCATGCTCCTGGTGAACTTGGTATTTCAAATTCTAGTAAGATCAGTTTAGTTCACTGCACTAAGTGTGCAACCCTTCTCATAAGGTCCTTTGCTGCTGAGTGCATACAGTGTCTGATTTAATTTCTACAGTTGAGAGAACTTGTCTCCTTTTCTAGTAGCCAACACCAAAAAGGGGCTGGCACTGAAAATTCTCACCATTGAGAAGTGTAGCCAGCTATCCTATTACAGTTTTTTGAATTTCAGCATAACCATAATATGCTCCTAATCCCACTGATAGTCATATATGCAGAGGAAAGTAATTGTCACTAAGCTTGGTGACCTCAGTGATACTTGACACATATGGTAGAAGGAGAATACTGACTTCTGAAATTGTTCTGTGACCGCTGTATGCGCACACGCACAGGCACACGCGCGCGCGCACACACACACACACACACACACACACACACACCTCGCTAAACACCATAATTTTAAAATGTTGATCTCACAGAAGTAGAGTTGGATGGTGTTTCTCTAAGGCTGGACGGTTAGGAAACAAGGGTGATGAGCATGGGTCAAAGGATACATTGTTGTTGGGGACTGCTTATTCATTCTCGGCTGCCCAGACCACGAAATAACCACATAGAAATGATATTATTTGCAATATTGTTTAGCCAGTAGCTTAAGCATATTGCTGGCTAGCTCTTATATTTTTGGTTAATCCATATTTATTATTTTATATTTTGCCACGAGGCTCATGGCCTACCAGCAAAGTTCCAGCTGGCAGCTCACGCGTCTTTCCCCTCTGGTGACTCCATGGCTTCTCTTGACTCCACCTTCTTTCTCCCAGCATTCAGTTTAGTTTTCTCCGCCTAGTTCTGTTCTGCCCTTCTACAGACTCAAAGCAGTTTCTTTATTCATTAACCAATAAAAGCAACACATATACAGAAGGATTTCCCACATCAATACAAAACCATAATAAGATCAGAAGCCTGAAACCCAAGAGATCTGTCATGCCATAAAATCACTATAGGGGAGAATGGGGAGATGGTGTGGTGGTTAAAAGCACATAGTGCTCTTCTTGAGGACC